TCGTTTACTTTTAGTTGCAGTGTTTGTTTTTTTTAAAATCACAAATTGAAATAAAACAGGATAAAATTAATGAATCTGTACCAAAAAATTGATCCCTCAAGTTAATTAGGTTCCAAAGTTGTTTATTAATTTAAATATTTAAAAAAATAATAGAAATTCCAGCTTTCAATGCATAGTCTATAGCGCTACCAGGTAAGCAAGATCAGCGGAACATTTTAGCGCAATTTGACGTCATTTTAATTGTGACGTTATTGTGTTCAATTGTGACGGCAGTCAAGGGTATTGTGACGTGTCTGAGTCGACGCTGCGTTAAAACGAATGCGCAGATCAAGTAGATCGGGCCTCGATAAGTTGCTATAATTTTGTTGGCAAGAACTTTACCCATTTTTGGTGCCCTTTACATGATTTTTTTATCATCCAATTGCCCATTTGTGTATAAGACAGGCATTGATTGCTGTATATGTCACATAATACCGTGAATATTTCTTTGGAAGTTTTGACGAGTTTTACAGAAGCTTTAATAGAGCTTTTATTTTCACTCTTATTTTTCTGATTCTTTACCATTCAATTATAATGCAGTGGGTATGATCACTGACGACATAAATAAATGTACAGATAACAAATTTATAGATCAGATAAAAAATTTTGATATTGTATTGCTCACTGAAACACACATAGGCTTTAATACTACTTTCGAAGTGGATAACTTTTTTTACTACCAAGTTTGCAGAGACAAGTCAAAGAATAACAGATACTTTGGAGGTTTAGGAATTTTAATAAAGAAAAACATCAGAAAGGGTATTTTAGTACTTCAAAATACAACACAGAGTTTCAATGGTTAAAGCTTAAAAAAAAATTCTTCAATTTTAAGTCAGACATATACTTATGTTTGGTATACATTTCCTTCTATACATTAGACGTTATACGTTATTCAAGAAATAATATTGATATACTAGAAATACTGGAGAGAGATATTATTTAGTATAGAGATATGGGTGATATTATACTTACTGGAGATTTTAATGCCAGAACTGGGAATGAACCTGATTACATAGAAGGAGATAATACCTCACACATTCCAATTAAGAAAGACTTTTATAATGTAGATATAGCAGTTGGGGATAGGAAAAAAAGGATATTTCACATTAGATTGCAGAGGTAAAGACTTGTTAGAAATGTGTATAGCAAATAAGATGAGAATAGTCAACGGTAGAATTTTTGGTGATTCATATGGAAAATTTACTTGCCATAACTATGCAGGTTCACGTGTTGTCGATTACTTTATTGTAACAGAAAAATTACTTGATGATATTATGTACTTCCATGTATATGATTTTTTACCATTCTCTGATTGTCATTGTATTTGACTAAAAATACTATTATCTTTTGCAAGGGAGATAAAAAACAATAATCTTCAAGAAATGCCCATTCGTTACAACTGAAACAGTTCCCTAGTAAGTCACTACCAGAACGTTTTTACACACTCTATTATCTAACAAGACGTTCAGACCTTTTTAAATAAAGATATACAAATGAATGAAAAGGAAATTAATGAAGCTACAAATGATATCCATAACATTTTTGAAAAAGTAGCAAAATTATCACTAAATAAGAAGGTTCATAAAAATAAACAAGTTAACAAAAAATCGTTTGATTCTGATTTTTGGAAAATAAAGAAACAACTTAGCGAAAAAGCTGTCTTAATATCTCTCTAAATTTCCTAACAACTCTTTCATACGAGGGCCTTATTTCAAAGCTAAAAAAGTGTATGCTAAATTAATTAAATACAAAAAACGACAGTTTGTTCAAAATAAAGTGGGCAAGTTAGATCAACTAAAGGAAAATAATCCTAAAGAATATTGGAATTTAGTCGCATCAATCAGAGAAGCCAAAGAGGGGAATAATGAAAAAAAAGAGAAATGTATTGAACCAGATATGTGGTATAGCTACTGTAGTACCCTGTTTAAACTGCCTAATTAGCATTCAGAGAGACTACAAATTATTCAAAATAAAATTAAGGAACTTGAAAATGGACCAAACTTTCTATCTTTTAGTAAACTAGACTTTAAAATCTCTTTAAAGGAATTACAAAAAATCTTTGTCTAGAATAAAATCTGATAAAAGCCCTGGCCTGGATAATATTACCAACGAAATGTTGCGAGTAGCACAAATGTACATGAATCTTTGTACTCTGAAATTGTTTAACCAAGTCTTCACTTCCGGAATCTATCCCAGAAAATGGGTAGAAGGTTATATAACACCTATTTTTAAATCAGAAAATCCCTGATTACCCCAAAATTATAGGGGCATAACCATTACCAATAGTATTGGCAAACTTTTCAATATAATACCTAATAATAGATTAGATAATTTTTTATCAGAAAATAACATCATACACGAAAGCCATATAGGATTTTCAAAAAAAGCCAGAACTTAGGATCATTTATTTGTAATGAAATGTCTGATCGACAAATACACGAACAAAGGTAATAAACGTTTGTATGCTTGCTTCGTTGACTTCCACAAAGCATTTGATACAATAATACACGAAGGCATAAACTTAAACTTCTTCAATTGAATATAAATGGACTATTCTACAAAATAATATGCAGTATGTACAAATACAGTTATATCTCGATTAAAATAATAATAATTATAATAATAATAAATTAACCCAACCTTTCTCACCTGAATTAGGAGTAAGATAAGGTGATGTCTTAAGCCCGAATATATTTAAAATATTCTTAAATGATCTCGCAAATTTACTGAATGAAGATGTTGTTAACTCAGTCTTTTTTTCAAAAAGCAAATAGTAGCTTCATTATATGCAGACGATTTAGTATTATTATCTGACAACCAGCTAGCTCTGCAACAAAAAATTGATCTGTTATACAAATATTGTAAAGAATGGTGTTTGGAAATCAAAGTTAACAAAAGTAATTATTTTCAACAGAAGTGGACATTTATTAAAAGAAACATTTTCAATTAATGGTATTAATATAGAATGTATTAAAACATATAAATACCTAGGTATAATACTCTCTATTTCTGGTTCTTTCAAAGAAGCAAGGTCTAATTTATATAACAAAGCTTTAAAGTCATCATTTAAAATATACAAAGATATAAAATCAACAGATTCACCCGTTAATACTTTACTTCATCTATTTGATCACATGATCAAACGAATAGCTACCTATGGATCCGAAATATGAGGTGTATTGTCATCATCGATGCAAAGAAATGAAAAATGTTTATTTGATATATTTAAAGATTCGGAGATAGAAAATCTTCATATGAAATTTTGCAAATTTATCATAGGGTCAGTTCTATCTGAACTGGGTAGACAACCAATATCTTATTCTATTATTATAGCAATTATATCCTATATACTGGCATAGACTGGAAAACATGTCTGTAAACTCTTTGTTATACAATGTATACAAAGAAAGCGTTATCTTGGACAGTTGTATGGAATCCGGATAGGGCCATGCAGTTCACTATCGCACCATCGAGTATCGACTAATAGGTCGATGGCGCGATAATGCGATGGTGCGATAACGATGAAGCGATGATGCGATGACGATGGAGCTATGGTGCGATAGCGCCATGACGATGATGCGATCAAGCGATAATGTGATGACGATGGTGCAATAGAACGATAGAGTAAAAGTAAATATGGCTTCATCGTCATCGTATCATCGCGTCATCGTCATTGCACCATCGTGCCATCACTATCGCACCATTGCTTAGTCGTCATCGCATTATCGTGTCATCGCATTATCAACCCAAACTGCATGGCCCTATCCGGATTCCATACAATTGTAATATAAATAGTTGGTTTTCAAATGTAACATATTTCTGTAATAGAATTGGCATAGATTGATTGATTGTATACTGTTTAACGTCCCTCTCCAGAATATTTCACTGATATAGAGACGTCACCATTGCTGGTGAAGGGCTGCAAATTTAGGCCTATGCTCGGCACTTACGGCCTTTGAGCAGGGAGGGATCTTTATCGTGCCACACCTGCTGTGACACGGGGCCTCGGTTTATACGGTCTCATCCGAAGGACCGCCCCATTTAGTCGCCTTTTACGACAAGCAAGGGGGTACTGAGGACCTATTCTAACCCGGATCCCCACGGGGTGAATGGGCATAGATTTGTCAAGATGTAAATCAATGAAATTAATAACTTTAAAGAAACAACTGAAAAAATTTATTAGAGTGGATTTCCTTCAATATTGGTTTAAAAAAGAGATGATGGTTGTCTATGGGGTAAACTTACAACATATTTCTATATAAAAAGAAGTTTTAAAATTGAAAAGTATTTATTATTTAAAAATTTTGAACAAAGAAAAATTATATGCAAATTTAGAATAAGTTCACATATAATCTCAGAATAGAAAGTGGAAGATATGAAAAAAATCAAACTCTGTAGGAGAGCAAACCACCCTTGCAAGGAATGAAAGAATTTGTAGAATGTGCGACATGAACTGTGTGGAAGATGAGATACACTCACTGATTGAATGTCCATTATATAAACATGTAATAAAAATTTCTATACTTTAACAAATAAAGAAAAATTTTTATGGAATATGTCTAATGAAAATTTCATGTTGCTTATCATGCTGGGTATTTTTTTAATCAATATCTTTAAAATAAGTAATAGCGAATTATGCAATGTTAAAAAAAGAAGCAAATAAATACAAAAGAGTAATAACGTTTATACTTTATTAAAAACGCCTTATATTTACACTATGTAGATTATTTTTGTTGTAATCCCCAACTGCTGTATCATCATTAAACTTTTGTTAGTTGCTACTACCAATTTTGAATTTCTTCTTGTATGTTTTTCTCATTACTTGTATGCCCTGATGGGCCCAAAATTTGTGAGTCAAATCACGACTTTGTTTTTACGCATCAATAAGATATTATTACCGATATAACATTTTCTTTATTTCGATTGAAAATTTCATCAATGGACGTCAAATAAACGTTGTATCAACAGATAAAATATGGTAAATCTCCATAGGCTACAATAATGTCATTATATAATCTCACAAAAAGCTAAATATTTTTAGGTAACCATCGGTTGTGTATATTTATTGGATAAATGATTTTCATTTGCAGAATTGAACTGTACTCATGCAAACATACATTTTCTTCTGTACAACTTTTGAAACAACCCCTGTTTCCTCTTAAATAAACAATAATATGTTCTGTTGACAATGAACACTTATTGGAAAAGAAATATAGTTTTCCGTGAACAAATTTTAAATAACACCTGTTAGTTATTAAATGTATTTATTCGATACATTATGGCACCCTGAATTTTATTAACTTGGCCTTGCTGTAATTGTAAAGCATTTTGATAACTCTGTAAGGACTCCAAATAATCGCCGCATGTTTGTTGGCAGATACCCAGTATTTCCCACGAAACATTTGTAAGACCGTTAGGTACATAAAGGTCGTCATTCAAAGTCATTAGATTTTTCAGATCCAGTATAGATTCGTGTGATTTTTCTGTGTCACCAAGTTTGTGGTAATTCAGTATAAACAGCATGTGCAATAAAACTAGGGGTGGAACAACTAAAGCTGGCCCGGCAAATTTCTGAATGATTAACTGTTCTAACACTAGTTCATCAATATAAACATAGTCACAGAATAATGTTAAATCTCTAATTTGGGATTTAACATTTTTACAAAGCGGCATTCCTTGCATATAGCGTCTGTACATATCAATATTAATAGGAGTATTATATATGATGTATGGCAATAAGATTCTCTCTCTTGCTCTTTGCAAATATTTAAGAGAATGTTCAAACCTACGAGTTCTGTATAGGTACATGGAGAGATGTAGAATGCTAGACACAAAGTCAAAGGCACATGACTGTTTTAGCAAAGTTGAGACTTTGTAGGCTTTGTAATGTACCTTGTTGCTGTTGTTATATGGATATCCAATGCTCTGGATCATCATGGCCGTATTTTGTAACACAACTGATGTTAAATATTGTAATGTAACTGCTTGATAAGGCGTCAGCTGTCCTTTTAGTAGTTTTTCTGTTATTCCCATGAAACCGATAAATTCCTCAATACATGATATTGTTATGTTTAACATTCGTAATTCGAAAGCCAAGGTCATATCTAAATCTAAGTTTGATATGATACTGCACTCATCTGTACAAATTCTCAATGTTCTATTTAAAATGGCATAACTGAGATAAGGTCTAAGGCTTTGACTTAATAATAAACATGATATCCCCTTACCATACAAATCATTCAATTGGCGGAACAGAGCAGATTGTACAGAACCAATGATTTTGTGTCGAAACATATTATTTTGTGGAATGAAAAAGTTTGGACATTCTCCAATACGGACCCAGTTTATCAATAATTTAAAGCACTCCCAGAAACAAGACAATAAATTATTAGGTGTCCAAATCAAGAACTTATTTCTCTGAATTACCCAAAATAAAGCTGTTTTTAAAAAATATGAACAAAGAACAGGTGTATTACTTTGAAAGTTAATTACTTCTTTTAGAAACAATTTTAAAAGACAATAACACAGAAACTGACAGTGATTCATCGCAAAAACAAGCTTTAGTTCTGCCTGAGAGAATGAGATTCTCCATTCGAGTTCATTTTCAGGTGTACTGCCGATAGGAACAACGTGGAATCCTCCGTTTAATATATCCGATACAACATCCTCAGATGGCCAACCTTGTGTACGACATCTTTGTATCCATGGCAGAGATATTGTCGGCCAATGATGTGAGTGGAATGAGAATGCAAAGTCCATGTACACACTAAGGTCACCAAGACGTAGAACATTCGAACAACACGGTCCATGAAGGAACCAATGAGGACTGTTAGATCCCATATTTACGGCTAGCACAATCAAATCGCGAATTAGTGTAGAAATGTAAACTTTGTTGCTGATTACTATACAAGAGGATCCAACTGCAGAAAATTGTGTTGGACTTAATAGATTTAGTTTGGTAAATCCTGGTTTTAAGTCTTCACATTCCATCAGAATTACAGTGTCCTGTGGGATGCAGTAACGGCTTATCTGAGAAAGTTCACATATTACGTTGTGATTATGAGGCCAAAACATTACATCTTGATCTGCAAAACTTGCTCGGAATCCCTCTCCTCTACTACCTGTCAGCATTCCGTACATAGGATAAACTCCTTTGGTATAAAGTCCCAACCGCGTTTCCTGCTCTATGCCTTTAACTTCCCTCCTAATCCTCAATTGAGTAGGAGTCCCTATTAATTTGCTCAGACCAAAATATACCGCCTCAGATAGTCGAGGAACGTGATTCATGGTGATATCTTATAAAACAATCAATAGTCGCAAATCTGAAAAAAGTGAAGAAAATATCCTTGTTATTATCCTATTATTATGACATGAAAAATATAAAGAAAACAAACCGTACTCAAGATCAAAAGTCCAATAAATAGAGAGCAGAAAACAAACACCACTAAAAATTGGAGGTGAAATAAGACGTCGAGTATTGAGCATGTCCTGTAAAACAGTAACACCCGTCGAATTGATCGGGTAAAAAACGTAAACAATTAAGTCCAGACGACATTTTTCTCAAAAATATATGATTTTTTCGAAGAATTGGTCACTGTAATCATTATTTAATTCATAATACATCTTAATACCAGGTGCATGTATATCTAAATGCAGAGATGAAGGCCACATCTAGTGTTTTCTTCCTCCCTTGTATAAGGTTTTATATAATGAATGCTTCATAGAAATATAAAAACGTCAGCTAATAAATAGGAACAGTCTTCATTATAATTATAATTATTGATTAAATCACTGATATATGGTAAGTTTACATTCATCATTTTCTCTGCTTTTTAAAGTGCGTTATGAGTTAAGACGCCTAAACATAGAAGTCCTTAAATGCTCTAGATGTGCACACTTTGTAATTTTCCAATGGACTTTGATCATATTAACTATTTGATATCTTAATATGTCATACTTCAAAAGTGTCAGAGTTCATCTTTTTGAATTCGTATTTATAATTTTATGTTCGAGGTCTGTCCAATAAGTAATACAATATTTCATAATAAATATGGAAGTATATAAATTTATATTTATACAGTTGAAAATTTCTATCAAAGAGCTTCTAATTATAGAAAACCCCATTTCCTACTGACCTCGCAAAGAAATTCACATTTAAATCAAAAGATGAGAATGAAAGTGTAATATGTGAAAACTGTTGATTATATTTTTCAGATAAATCGCCGAAGAACTCGTATCAAAGATTTTATTTTTATGTGTGCAAGAGTCATCTTTTACACAGCATAGTTTTCAGATTGTTTCAATTATTCAAAAGGAAAAAAGAATATATTAAATATGAAAATCAAACTATTCGATTGCAATGTGTGGGTTCATCAACAATTTATTGATTCTGTGTGCCATTTTGTATCTGAAAATGCTAGATTTAGAGAGAAATGCATTGTTAAGAAACAAAAAATCATCACAGCCTTTTGTCTATAGAGTTTTCACAAAGGAAAAAAATATAATAACAATTAATTAATTAGCTATGTTAGAACATTGACTTTCAAGATTTAAGATAATGATTTTAGAGAATATGAACCTGTAACATGAACGATTTTTATAAGGGCTATTTCTCGTACTGAGAGGCGATAATTTTAAGTTTTATTGCAAGAAAAATGTGACTTCAATTTGTGAGAGATAAAACATATTTGGAGTAATATCCAAATTTTTATTATATTAATTTATTTTGTCTATAAAAATTTACTTACATCAAGAAAGACTGCCAAATATTCTATTTGTATAAATTTTTTTTTTAAATAGACCCTTTGTCCATTTGACGTGTACTTTCTCTAAGGCATTTGTAAGAAAATAGGAGACTTATCTGACATAATCAAATTTTCTTTGATTATACTATTTGGTTGAAATGTTTAAATTGACTTCCTTCAGATGACTATTTTTCTAGGTACTTTGCAAATTTCCATACTTGTCTTGGTTTTGTCCAAATGCAGCGATCCCGTGAGGATCCGGGTTAGAATAGGTCCTCAGTACCTCCTTGCTTGTCGTAAAAGACGACTAAATGGGGCGGTCCTTAGGATGAGACCGTATAAACCGAGGCCCCGTGTCACAGCAGGTGTGGCACGATAAAGATCCCTCCCTGCTCAAAGGCCGTAAGTGCCGAGAATAGGCCTAAATTTGCAGCCCTTCACCAGCAATGGTGACGTCTCTATATCAGTGAAATATTCTGGAGAGGGACGTTAAACAGTATACAATCAATCAATCAATCCAAATGCAGCGCCGATAAATTACAAAACTGCATAAAGAAATCATATGAAAGGATAGGATAATAAAGTATTGTTTATCTTTCAATATATTAAATACTCAGTAGTAAATATTGAAAAGAAAATTCTTTTACATTTATGGTCTAAAATTTTGAAATTCTGCGTTGGAAGGTATATTTCATGATGCTAAATTTCAGGAATTAACCTTAAATGTATAAATGCCATCTTTTTTTTATATGGAAAGCAGTCGAACAGATGAGAAATACTTTTATCATCCTGCGCCTTGGTGTCATATTAATGTAAAGGAAATATAGAAGTTAGAAGGCAAATGTATGCTTTAAAATGAACGGATACAAAGACGTTACATTTGACGAGGAATCATGGGGAAAAAAAAACATTTGGAAACTTTCATAATATATCATCCAAGAGCATATAAGAATCCTACCAATTATTATGTGTGAATTATGTTTAAAATATATTTTATCCATTAAGAAATGGATTGAACAGCAGGCATAAATGCCTATGATCGTTCTCTCCATAACATTAATGGAGAATGAATGTAAATTATGTTTAAAAGGATATGATAGAAATGAAGTTATAAATCATTTTTAAATACATTCTGTTGTCACGTTACACAATTTTGCATTATAACAATGTGGCCTTAATTTATGCAAAAAACCATGTGAGTTTAAAAAAGTGCGTTGAGCTGTATAGTATTACCCCCCCCCCCCCCGTTTCCTTCCGAAAAAATATAAAACTTCATTTACAAAACATAAACGTATTAATAAATAAGCAAATATTTACGTATAAAATTTAAGATAAAATAAAAATACAAGCAAAAACCATTTTTTTTTTGGAAAATTAAAGCCAATTCATAAATTAATTTCGTTTGTTTATAAAAGGCAATTTATACACTGTCCATTAAAGGACAGAGGAAATCCTGTCGGCTATACATTTATGCTTACATAGTCTGATGAGTGAAATATCTGAAAATACATGAATACGTAACAAGTACGTTTTTCTGTAGGACTATTAAACAAAGCATTTATTTATCTGCAATTATCGTGAAGTGCAGGGGAATGGCTTGTCTCTTTTCATTCAAGTGTCCAGCGAGGGTTGGAAGGCCCTAATCAGGCTAATTGAAGTAAAATAACGGTTTTGCATAGAAACAGAAAAATGGTCTATAATTTGATGGTTCATTGCTTTAAGAATTTACTAATTTATCTGACTGACAACGACAGTTCTACTGTAGCGCATTTTTTAAAACTGTGGCGGAACTTTGGAGCTAATTTTTCGACTGCGGCGATAAGGAATTTAATTAAGGTTATCCGATCCTCAGGTTCTGAAAATTAGGCATTGAGTAATTGAAAATGCTCACAAAGATGTCTCTAAATTCTCAAATTGAAATGTATTTACCCACGGTGTTTCTTTAAAATTCTTCTTTAAATTTAATCATATTATATAGGGAAAATTAATAAATCTCAAATAATTTTTCAGGAAATGCGATTTGAACTACCTACTGCATATTTTTTATTGAAAATTTATCAAGAAATACATTTTAGGAATAAAAATCATAGGTATCATAGGTATCCAGGATTTGAAAGAAAATGGCTAAATTTTACACTTATTTGGATTTTACTTTCTCCTACTTACTTCCATTGTTTCATAATGCATAATGCATGGGGTAACCTGTATTGTCAATAAGAAACTCAGCATCTTTTTTATGTTAACTTTAGAGTACTTGTGTGTTCTAACAAAATTATTTTGCAAATGACCAATGACCAGGTAAGTATATAAATTTACGAGTTCCATTTTTATTGAAAAAGTAGCTGTCATAGATATCAAAAAGCATAGACTCAAATCTGTTGTGGGAAATGGTTGTGTATAAAGTAGAAAGTCGTAAATCTTAAAGATTTTGATTTTGGTAAAATCTTGTGATTTTGAATTGTCAAAGAAATCTTTTGATTCGAATCGCGTAAAAAAATATATTCGTTTTTCTTCTTGAAAAATAATTGTACAAAAATTGTTTCAACTTTTGTCAAATTATATCCCAAAAGTCTTTTTTCTTTTAAAAGATATCGAAATTCAAAAGCTAAAAAAAAATATTTCTTTAGGTCACAAAAAATAATCCAATGTTGATATCGCGTGAAATCAACTTTAAAAAATTAAATTTATCGATTATATCTCATGAAGAACAAACACGAGCATTTTTTTCACAACACTGTACTTATACCTGTACACGGACAATATTTTAGCCTTCGTTACTTACTTCCTTTAAAAAAAATATCTCCAAATATTTGTTAGTTTTTCTTCATTTTTCAAATATGCATATTTAAATAAAAGTTACGATGGATTATATTTAATTAATTTTTTGATTTTTAAAAGATTTATTATGAATTAGGCTACTACTAATGGAAAAAAATACTCGGTTTTGAATTATCTTTATAATTAGATATTACCGATGAATATATTTTTTCAAAGGTACTTCACATCAGATCTTAACTTCCTGTCAGGAACTTCTGTTTGTCAATAAGGCTTTTAATCTGTTTTCCATGTAAAGATTGTTGTAATAAACTATTAAAATAATCTTATAATTTATTTTTAAATATTATCTATAAAATGACGTACTTTTATTGTGTAAGAAAATATGTGCCTGTTTCGGATTAAGCGGATTTAAGTGTCCACATCTGATTCACACCACTTCTTGAATATATTGTCACACAGTACAAAGATAACGAACAGGAATCAATCTAAATAATTTTAAAACAATACATTCGCCGTACGTACGTATCCATCATGAAGAAACACGTCAACAAAATAACGACACAGTGATAGGGTATATTTGTCCATATGCTATAACTACCGTAGAATTTACGAGACTTTAAACGAGATTTTCTAATGCCAATCGTACTATTTATTCCAATACCCACAAACACTAAATCGTTGATGAGGGAAAAGTTAAAGTAATTTCGTTTATTATAGAATTCATTTAATATATATTACTTATCATTTATGTTCAGTACAACATCT